TTAGCTGCAGGAAATTTACACTCAACCAGGCCGTGATGTTCATCAAACAAGCTGACAGAACATCAGCGAACTGGGAATCACAGCTCAAGTGGAGAGTACAAACACCAGCTCAGACGAGTTGAGCCAAATGGCCTGTTTCGATGCTGCAGATTGCATGTAACTATTAAGCGCACCAAATTTAACAAAAAAAAACTGGTGCCATATTTCCTCAGCGCCAAAGGTTTATGACTCGGCTTATATCACTGTGTTAACTTGATCATCACAAGCTCTTAGGAGTCCAGGCCTGTTAGTTTGTGTGGTGTCTGGTGGGGCAACCCTTGAGACTGCACAGAATTATAACAGCCCTCGTAGTTATTTCTGAGCTCATGTATCAGAAAATTTCCCCAAATCTCTTGTCTTATCCTATAAGACTATTTTGTCTCAAAGCATTGAAAGTTTTGCATGGAATTTCGGCAAGTTGTTAAATTCTGTCTTCATTTGGAAGCTGTTTGATATGCTAGCCAAGAGAGCATGTGAGCATGTAACGTGTTGCCAGCAATGTTGAGTTAGGGTATGAGGAGAGAGATTCTCATGTGGTCTCCATTTAGTGGATTTTCAGCAGCTAAAATGAAAAACTTTCTGCAAGAACTTTGAAAATAATATTCATGTATAGCAGGTGTGCGGATGTGTTTCCTGCGCCCAAGACTCCATGCTGAGAGGTCTCTCCTTCTGGCCTCTGGTGCCTAATATTAATGATCAATAATATTAATAATCCTTGCATTTGATATAGGACCTTACCACATTATCACAAAGTGAATTGACTGTATTTTGTGGGTGTTTTTTTTTCATTCTCCATAACCAGACATGTATGAGCTTCTTTGTACCTCTGCTCTCTGTGAAAATGTACACATTTTTTACAGCGCAAGGCAATTTCAGGTATGTATGGTGTGTGCAGTCACACCCAGCAGCTTCCCAGCCAAACTCCCCGAGGTGAGCAAGCAGTCAGCAGCATGGGTCGTTCTAAGAAATTTCTTCTTCCACCTTGGAAAAATAATCATTTCACAACAAACTACGGGGCGTCAAAAAATAATCTTCCAAATCTAGCTATTCCCTTAGCTGTGTCCAATGCACAAATTTATTTATTTGTTTAACAGCAGAAAAATGCAAGTCTTAAACTCCTTTGTTCTTTCAGTGATTGAATTCCAGCAACTGCACACTCTTGACTATGTAAAAAGAACGTTCGATGCAGTGCTCTATATCACTGAATTGACTCAACACTGCATGGGATTTACTGTGAAGTGTAGTAACTATTTATAGATGAAGCGGCCACGAATTTGTACGCAGCAATGTTCCACAAGCAGCTGTGAGGTGAATGATTGATGAATCTGGGGGTTTGTGGGCCAGGAAAATAGTGCCATGGGGTCTTTAATGTCCCACTGAACAGACAGACGGGAGCTCAATTTAACAATCCACCCGATGGATGGCACCTCTGACATTGCTGCAGCTCCTCAGCAAGGTATTGGAGTGTCAGCCTAGACTATATTCTTTATAGGAAACACTCAGCAATACTTGACTGGCCCCCACATAGAATCATAGAATTATACGCACAGAAGGAGGCTATTCAGCCCATCTTGTCTGTGCTGGCTCTTTGAAAAGAGCTATTCAATCCCACTCCCCCGCTCTCTCCCCATAGCCCTGCAACCTTGCCCTTTCCAAATAATTACATACTTCTCTGTTAAACGTTGTTATCGAATCAGCTTCCACCACCCTTTCAGGCAGTGAGTATTTTAGCCACAGAAAGCTCCTATAACTAGCGAGTAGATGATTATAATAATAATAATCCTTACATTTGATATAGCGCTTTTCACGTCTTCTAGATGTCTCAAACCGCTTCACAGAATATACTGTAAAGTTAATTGACTGTATATTTTGTGGATGAAACGTGGCAGCCAATTGCGGACAGCAGTGTCCCATAAACAGTCGTGGATTGAGTGACCAAATCATTATTGTTTTTTTCTTGAGGGATTATTATCAGGTATGTATATACACACATCCTCTCCCAGTGTTTCTTCTGTACACACAGCCTCTTCCAGTGTCTCTCACTGTACACACACAGCCTCTCCCGATGACTCTCCTGTATACAATATTATGATTGACCAATTAATCCAGGGGGGAATTGTTTTAACAGGACAACTCAAGTCAAAACACGTCATTGAAACATCTCAAAGTGCTTCACAGGATTTACTATAAAAGTGTAGTGGCTGTGTATTTTGTAGCCAGTTTCTACACTGCAATGTCCAACAAATAGCCTTGAGGTGAATGACCAATTTTACCTGGGTGATTGCTGACCAGGATACTGGGAGAGAAACTTATCTAAAGGGTGGAGTGTCAGCCTGGACTGAGTTCAACATTCTGACGTGGGGGATTGAACCCACAACCTTCAGACTGGGAGACGAGAGGGTAAGCAACTGAGCCAGGCTGATATATACACACGCACATACAGACTGAGCCAGGCTGATACACACAGAGAGACTGAGCCAGGCTGACACACACACAGCGCGACTGATACACAGCGACTGAGCCTGGCTGATACATAAATTTGCTCCTTGAACACAGAGATGTTAGACTTGCCTGAATAATGGGAATCTGTCTCATTGTTTCAATAGCTTAGTACTCGGCAGTTGGGTCTCATATTCCTTCTCTACAATAAACTTGCAGCTCATTCTTTTGCTCACTGCGTTGTCCTAACCGCCGGCTCCTGCCCTGGGAGGATGTTCACCAGGCAGGCAGGGAGGGAGGGAGGGGAAGTTAGAATGGTGGAAATGGCCGCAAGCCGCATAAAATCACCTGCCGGGCCACCTGTTGGACCACACTGAGGTTGATCATAAAGTGTAAGTGAGAATGTGAACAATTTACAAAACCTATTGTGTAAATGCACTGCCAGTATTACTGCCTCACCCTTGCACAAGCTCATTAATCACCTGGCATTGGGTCATGTTAGTCATTGTATTGTGAGTTTGAACCTCCCATAAAGACACCAGTAAATTTATCTCATTCCCAAACTTGGGTCTTTTTCAGTGAACTTCTTCACTACTATTGTAAATGATTGGGATACTGCACTATATGTGATTACCAGACTGTGTATGTACATTGAAAATAAAACGTCATTGAGCTGAGCTGTTGACCGTTCTTCTGATGCTAGGATATTGCGAGTCCCTGGGATGTCCTCTGTGTCTGTACATGGTGTGCAGGAAGATGCCGGCGAGCATCGGAAACCAGAAATTACTGCACTGCCAGTATATTACAGGTCAAAATGCGTTGTATATGGACCCTGGTATAATAAAATAAGGTATAATAGTGTCTGACTGAGCTCAGCAGCTGGAATGGTTTACTAAGAAAGATTGGCTGAGACCAATGGTTAAGTGGATTTTTTTATCAACAGCAAAAAATTAAATTTCTTTTGCGCCTTTCACGTCGGGAATTCCCAAGGCACTGGGGTATAAGTCACGTTTAGTTTAGGCAATTATTTGCATTTTTTATTTTTCCCCTTGATTTTTTTTCAAAAAGTGCTTGCATCTTTAAGCAGAACATTATCTTGAATCGTGTTGTCAGTGGATGAAACGGTAGTTCAAAGAACACAACAACAAAGTTACATTTGTATAGCGTCTTTCACCTCAGGAGGACATCCCAAGGCGCTGAAGGGTCAGTGTTTCGGATCCAAGCTGGGGGTCGGGATTGGGTAGGATGGGGTGGGCGGGGGGAAGCAGGGTGATCGAAAGCATGGTCGAAGAAGAGGGTCTTGAGATGGGTCTTAAAGGAGGTAAGGGAGGGGTCGAGGCAGCGCGACAGTAGGATGGAGTTCTAGAGGGTGGGGGCAGATTGGCCAATACTGCAGTGGGCTAGGCAGGGGACGTGAAGCAAGCCGGAGCCCGCTGAGCGGAGGGAGAGGGCAGGAAGGTAGGGGGGGGTTAGGAGGTCGCAGAAGTAGTGGGAAGCAAAGCCATGGAGGGCTTTGAAGGTGAGGACCAGGATGTTGATGGGACAAACAGAGGATACAGTTCAATACAAACAGCATTTTATAACGGAAGGATCAGTTACAAAGAAGGAAGGAGTATTAAAAAGTTATGGATAGAGGAGGTGGGAATGGATGGGGTTTTACATTAGAAGATTTTTGAATCAGATGCAAGACTAAATATCCAACGATGCTCAGTTTACTACAACAACTTGCACCCTTCACTTTGGAGAGCAATACTCATGCCCAGGTTTTGGAAGCAGAAGCTTTGCTTTTTGGTAGATGTAGGAATCCTGGTAACAGCTGTTGTGAGAGGGTAAGCTGGCAGGTGTTGGCGGATACTGCAGTAAAATACTGAATGTGTGCCCAGTACAGTAATCCCTGTTATTGGGAGCTAGAATAAGGACTAGCTATGAAATTATATCTCAGTGCTGGAGAAGTGAAGGAATGTTTCTCTGGTGCCATTTCAGGTTTGCGAAAAATCCTTTTTCCTGCAATCTTCAGTCTCTTAATGCTGAGATAATTAAAGTTGCTAATCTTCGTGAAGCTCATCAGTCTCACAACATCAAATAAAATTACCCTTAACTCACAGAGCAGGACAGGATACAAGAAACTAGTTAAGATGTTCAATATTTGCTTTTGGTGACCCCTCAGTTCCCCAGCTTGAGCTCGGAGTCAGCTTTGTGAAACGCTTTGAGATGTCCTCCCAACGTAATGAGGCACTATATCAAACACAAAGCTTATTCCATTAACTATAACAACAACAACAAAATTACATTTATGTAGCGTTACATTTACCCATGTTTGGGTAAATCTAAGTAATGGGTTTCGCCCACAAAATACATAGTCTATCCACTTTACAATGTATTCTGTGAAGTGCTTTGAGGTGTCTCAACAACGTAATAAGGTGCTATATCAATGCAAGGATTATTATTATTAAATATTGATATTGTAATTGCAGGAGCAGTCTGTGTTACTAATTGCCTTTTATTTGTGTTGTTTTAAGCAGTACCTTACCAGCACAGTCCTTACAGTCCTGGAGGTGTGCCATCCGCCATCCACTGTTTCAAGTGTGGAGGTCAATGCAAAGGAGAGGTAGTGCGTGTGCACAGCAATTACTTCCATGTCAAATGCTTCACCTGCCAAGGTAAGAATCAATGCATTGTGCAAGAACTCTTATCTTTGTTGCATTTATTCTATACTTAAGAGAAGAGTCCTTCAGCGGAGATCTATTTCACAGCACACTCAGTGCATAGCTGATATTTTACGACACAGGCTTGTTATAAGGACTGCTTCAAAGAACAAAAACAACAATGGCTTGCATTTATATAGCACCCTTCATGCAGGGTAGCATCCCAGAGCACTTGACAGTAGCAGAGTCTGACCCCAAGCTGGAAGGGGGGGAGGTGACCATAAGAATGATCAAAAAGGAAGGCGGAATTTGAAAGTTGGGAAGAAGGAGTGAAGGACGGAGGGATTGAGGGAGAGAGTTCCAGAATTTTGGAGTGTAGTGGCTGAAGGCACGGCCACTGATGGCAGAGTGGAGGGGACGCGGGATGAATAGAAGGCCGGAGCCAGCCGAGGAGAGGCTGGATGGATGAGTGGGGGATAAGCAGGTTGGATAGATAGGGAGGTGCGAGGGCATGAAAGGTTTTGAAAATAAGTGAGAGGATCTTGAAATCGATCAGTTCAGTAATTGGGAGTCTGTGGAGCCTGGCAAGGACTGGAGTAACGGGGGTACCGAGTTTGTCCGGGTGAGTATCTGGGTGGCGAAGTTGTGAACTAGTTGCATTTTGTTTATGGTGGAGCTAGAGAGACCAGCGAGGAGGGCTTTGGAATAGTGCAGCCAGGAAGTAACAACGGCATGGATGAGGGTTTCAGCTCAGTCGGTTGTGAGGTATGGCGGAGGTGAACGATCTAGTGGAGGCGGAAAATAGCAGTCTTGGTCAGGGAGTGGATGTGGGATAGATAGGAAAGTTGGGGATTCAGAGAGTCTGAGGGACAGCTTGCGGAGGTTGAGGAATTCAGACCCGCAGGAGAAAAGACGTTGATGGGAGCCAAAAAGTATGGCTTCCGTTTTGGTGACATTCAGTTGCAGGAAATTTGCGCTCATCCAGGCCTTGATGTCCGTCAAACAAGCTGACAGGACATCAGCGGACTGGGAGTCGCAACTGGAGGAGGAGAAGTAGATTTGGGTGTCATCCGCATACATGTGGAACTTGACCTCATGTCTATGGATGACATCGCCAAGAGGGAGCGTGTAAATGAGGAAAAGAAGGGGACCAAGGATAGAGCCTTGGGGTATCCCGCAGGTGACCGGGTGGGGGTGGGAGGAGAAACCATTTGCTGAGATGTATTGTTGGTGATTAGTCAAGTAGAACCATGCGAGTGCAGTCCCACTAAGGTGGATGAGGAAGGGGAGGTGGTGGAGGAGGATGGTGTGATCGACTGTATCGAACGTGGCGGAGAGGTCGAGGAGAACGAGGAAGCCGAGGGAGCCCTGGTCAGAGAGGAAGAGAGGACGTCATTTGTTATTTTGATGAGCCCTGTCTCTGTACTGTGGGGAGGACGAAAACCGGACTGGAGGGGTTCAAGTAGGGAGTGGAGGGAGAGGTGTGAGCAAAGTGGATTTGCTCAGGGACAGAGCCTGAGGAGAGGGACTGATTGATTGTGCCATCCAGCAGTGGGCAGAGAAGGGGGAGTTGGGTGACCAGTGACGTGGTGGGGGGGAAGAGGAGGGAGCCAGGTAGATGGTTTTGAACATACGATTATTGCTCATCATTTGGTTTATTCACAAAACCAAGAAACTTACAAGTTCTTGTTGGAAATGATGTGCCTGAAATTCTATCTAGTCTCAGGTTGGAAGACCAATATTTGAAATCCTGCATCACTGTGGAAAATGTGAATTCAGTGTAACTTTGAAGCAAGGTTTCCTTTGTTATTGAAAAGCAATAAAAGTGACCGGCAAACATTTTTGGGAGGATGGTGAGGGGCAGAGCCAGAAGTACCATATGCCTTTTCTTCCTGTTGACATTTTAATGCAAGCAACAGCACTGTAGGGGAATGGAAGCCATGCTGCATTGATATGCTGTGTGTCATCCCTTCAGGTGTTTGTAAATGAGAAACCAGTTGAAATTTATAAGGAATGTGCTTGTTTAATATGTAGCAAACTAGAGGCTTTATTCGGATTAAAGAGGGAGGGATCCAGCAGTTTTTATTCATGAAGGAACACCCATGAAAATTCCCCATGGGTAGCTAATAAAATACCAATACAAACAGATTGAGTGGAGATGATTGGGTTGAAATTCCACTGGGCATTAGCCCTAGAGTTTTGGCGTTGTTGAGCATTAATGGGATTGCCCGCATGATAATCACACATCACCAAAGGCGCTACACATAAGGTTGACAGGAATTTCAGCCCAGATATAAGGTCAACAGTATTCATTTGGGTGAAATTTCCCTGTGTAGAAGGCATGTATATGCAGAACTTTCAGTCTGGTCTGGTTACTTTTAAGCATAGTGATGGGCATGGTCAAGGGTGTTCTAAACGTTTCTGCTTATGTGAGACACCAGGCGCATAGAACAAAAAAAAATCACTCCAGGAAACCAGTTTTATAAAGCAACATTTAAAGCTCCACTTCCTTTCATTCAATCAAATTCAATGCATTATTCAAGAGGTGTACATAGAGTCACTGCACAGAACGAATTTATTCAGCATGTAACTGAAGTCCTGTAGCTCAGTGGTTAGAGCCCTCGCTTTGCAAGTGAGAGACCTGAGTACAATTCCAGGCAGAGGGCGAAACCTTGGGCAAGTTTCCTTACTCCACACACCTAATAATCCTCCAAAAATACAAAACAATAATAAATTGGTCATTTTCAATCCATGACTGTTTGTGCTGTGTGCAATTGGCTGCCGCGTTCGCCCAAAAATATACAGTCAATTCATTTTACAGTATATTCTGTGAAGCGCTTTGGGACGTCTCAACGATGTGATAAGGCTCTATACCAAATTCAAGCATTATTATTATTACTAGGTTATGGACACAATTCCTGCTGTCTCTCCAAATGTAAAGTAAAGCCCACGCTGCGCTAGTAGATCGGTGACTCGGGCTGGATTCCTCATTGATTTCTGTATTTACTGTAAGTAAATAGCAGATCATTTTTGCTACCTTTAAAGGGACATTGGCTTCAATCCAACATACCAAAGATTACAGACAGACACTCAAACACTAAAAAAATTACCAACAGTATTTACCATCAGTAAACTCTACTTTTACTTTTGAAAGTAAATACTCCGCCACTGTCTCACACTGTAGGCCGCCAAAACCCTCATACACGCATTCATAACATCCAGGCTTGACTATGCAAACCCCTTGCTTGTAGGCCTCCCTGTCTCCTCTCTCCACAGGCTGCAGATCATCCAGAACTCTGCAGCCCGTGTCTTCTCCCGCACCAGGATCCTTGACCTTATCACCCCATCCTCGCCCAACTCCTCTGGCTTCCCATCACACAGAGGGTACAGTTCAAGATCCTGGTCCTCACCTTCAAAGCCCTCCATGGCCTCACTCAACTGTGACCCCCTAACCCCCTACCATCCTGCTCAGTTCCTCCGCTCAACGGGCTCTGGCCTGTTTCACGTCCTCCGCCTCGCCCACCCCACCATTGGCAGGTGGGTCTTCTGCCACTCTGCCCCCAATGTCTAGAACTCTATCCTGCAGTCCCTCTGCCTCATCCCCTCCTTTGCCTTCTTCAAGACCCATCTCAAGACCCTCCTCTTTGACTGTGCTTTCGATCACCCTGCTTCCCCCTGTGCCCTCCACCCTCCCCAATCCTGACCCCCAGCTCAGGTCCGTAGCTCTGTCTGTCCAGCGCCTTGTGACATCCTCCCAGTGTGAAAGGCGCTATAGAAATGTAATTTTGTTGTAGTATTGTGTATATTAGTACTTAGTATATGTAAGTATATGTAATGTATTTCTATGCTGCCTTCGTTCAGCTGGCACGTCCTACATCCCCTCTGCTCCACCATTGATGCTGGTGTACTTGAAGGTATAAAATACTTTCAAGGTCCCTAAGGAATTCTGTGAACATCTACCATGATATTGTTGTTGTAAAGCTATTTCAGACGTTTCATTTGAATGCAACAGTCATTAAATTTTTCTGTGTCATTTCAATACTCAAAGTAAGGTCGTAGGCAGCAAAAGTAGTATTTTTAGTACACTTGATATTGGAGATGCATTTCATTCCTCTATTCTATTTCTATAGATCTCATGAACTTTACCAAGAAGTGGTACATCAGGAAATTATAATAATAATCCTTGCATTTGACACAGTGCCTAATCACTTTGGGAGGACATCTCAAGGCACATAACAGGATTTTACTGTAGTAATAGGATTTTAGCGTAGTGACTGTATCAAACGCGGCAGCCAATTTGCACACAGCAATATTTTACAAATGGTCAGGAAGTGAATGACCAATTTCATGTGGGGCAGATTAAATTGTATATGGTGGGATGAACACTGACAGATTTTGAAAGCGTATCATGAATTGTACAGAGGAAATGGATAGCAGCTTGTGTCATGTGATTCTTAAGTCGAGTGCACTCGCTGGGCTCTTGTCACAACGGGAAGCTGAGCATTTGTGTTAAGACCTACAATGTGGTGCAGCACACTGAAGCACTAATGTAAAGCAATGAAGTGTTCTACTTTGCTGAGTATCTGTTCTCAGCCCATGCACTCTCCCTCCATCGTGCCCACACGTTGGAGATCTCTGCTTTTCTGTAGCCCTACATGATTTGATCTGGCCCGTTGTGTGGATTGAATTGTACTAAACTTAATGTTGACAACACAGGGGTCAGGAAATAATTGGTCCCCCACTCCAGTAGAAATAGCAAATTTTCATTTTAAATTTAAAGAATGATTTGTCAAACAGATTGTTAAAATCAATTTCCTACCATTATTATAGATTGTGACTTCTGCTCCTCATCGCCTGCCGCACCTTCATCACCTGTCCAACCTTCCTCAGCATTCTATTGCACTGACTAACCCTCCTCACAGCTGTGCTCACATTGCCTGACACCCATCAGTTGGCCCCATCTTACACAACTCAGATTTTGCTTTAGGTTTACCACAAATCGTTCATGCAAACGT